TAATGATTAGCGCTGCAATCAATGACTGAGAATGAATGTTTCTATTTAGACTGTGGTCCCACACGCCGGGGAGCGAGAGTGTAGACGACTGAGGCTTGCATACGTCACCACTACTAGAACTGAGGCAGAATGAGTGACAAGCGATCCCAGTGGTAATTGGTAGTGAATAGATAAGAGGATGTGCGAAGAGTACCATGAGGGGCTGTTATGGTCACGTTGCGTTCTGCAAGAGTCATTCTAGCAATTGGTGATTGTGTTGCAAGATGTCAAGAGGATGCCTTTAACCGGAAGGCGTAGGTCGTCATCGATGAGTGTGACCGTGCTGTGGGTCTGCCTGTGGTGTGTTGGCTTTTCTGTTAGTCCTCCATTTCAGCCTTGTCCGTGTGACCCAGGTTCTCGCACTGGCATACAAGTCAACGTGTATTGGTCGTGATGTAAAAATGGGATGGATCCGTTTTTTGCCGGGGAGTGTCAATGTAGTTAGAGATTGAACGATCAATTCATGGCTGTTTGCTCGAACCCAACTCTATATTTTGGCGGGAGTCATCAATCCGACAGTCATCGTCTCATCGTTCACTATTCGTTGGAAGAGCGAAAACTGTCAGAAGTATTACCGTGATTTATTGTTATAACATTTATTCTTGGACCTTGTGTATAATAACCTTATAGTTGGTTACATATTGGCGTAAGAATAAAGGATTCTCGAGTCGCCAGTCAGTGTTCTGGTTTTTCGCGTTGTTTATTACAAATTGTTTCTGAAAGTCTTCGAGGGACAGCGTGAGGTCCAGCGTAGTAAGAGCTGGACTTTTACAGTTTCTGAGATTTTCCTGACAGCGATCCTGTAGAGTGGTGCTTGTGACAACACCCTGACCTCTTCTTGTATGCACTGAGCGTCCTCAGAATATGGCACGAGAACGAATTTACGGAATAGGTGGTGCGAGGCTGTCACACATTAAAGCACAGGGCATCAATTCCATTTTCGTACTTTATTTAAGGACTATTACAGTGTGTCCGAGCATTAGGCAAAATATTATTTTGTGGTCATCACAAGTTTTCAGTATCTTTCTATCCTCCACATACCTGCTTGTGCTGATAAAGCAACCGGTGGGGATTTCAACTTATCTGAAGCCGTACCACTAGTTTCGCTCCCTTTAGAGAAGAAAACGGACTTAGTCTAGTGCACACGTATTTATTAATGACATCCAATGCTTGTAAAAACATAAGCCGAAAATCCCTTACACACGTCGATAACCTGCTCAAGCCTAGAGCTAATTTATTCTTTAGTGGATTTATAGTAAGGCTCATTATACACCGAAAGGAACAGATAACGGCCCGATAAACATAGATGAACGCGGTATTGAAACTGCTTGTAATACACGGTCTTCATGCCACGCGAAACTAGTGGATGCCAATCTACACTTGAGTCTGATTGACAAGCCTAAATACCCCAAACACTTTTTCAACTCTCAACTTTACCTACTCCTTATTTATACTAGATCTATCCCAAACAAGGCTCAGGGCACACACGCTGGTAAATAAACCCCCAATAATCATTATTGCAAATGCTGGTGTCACTGCAATACAGCAGATGAAGAGATAAGCATCGATGAATACACACACTTTCGATGTGCCAGGAACGGTGGTAAATGAGCAGGCTGCCTTGTGCATTTCCCGAACAAACTTATTGTATTGCAGTCAGAAAACAGGGAACTCGACAAAAAGCACGACACTCTATGGGTCAACGTTCAATTCCAAAACGCTACAGTGCTAATGGAATGTATTTACAGAGCACCTGGCACCTCTAGTCATTACGACATTCAGCTCGTTAATGCATTGGGACAAGTGTCCTGTCTTCCATATCAGCAAACGGTAATATGGGGAGACTTCAACTGGGACTTATTAACAGATCCAGGTAAATATGGCAAGCTCTCAGGTACACTGGACATTTTTGGCTGGCAAGAAACTGTCGCTATCCTTACAAGAGGTGATGACGAACTACACTTAATATTCTGCCACAGTATAGGTCCCCTCTCAGTCTTAATGGGTTCTAACGTAGCTGCCATAAAACATGAGCTGTGTGCACTGCCTATTCCCCTGAGTGGTGATGCAGGTTATAAAAAACTTCACAACAAATAACATGCGAAATATATTAGGGCAGACTGGGATTTCGTGAAATCAAATCTAGGATATAACGAATGTGGCGAATATTTCAAAACTGATAAACTATGTTAGCAAAGTCTCATAACCTGTCAAAGTCCAGCTCTTACTACGCTGGACCTCACGCTGTCCCTCGAAGACTTTCAGAAACAATTTGTAATAAACAACGCGAAAAACCAGAACACTGACTGGCGACTCGAGAATCCTTTATTCTTACGCCAATATGTAACCAACTATAAGGTTATTATACACAAGGTCCAAGAATAAATGTTATAACAATAAATCACGGTAATACTTCTGACAGTTTTCGCTCTTCCAACGAATAGTGAACGATGAGACGATGACTGTCGGATTGATGACTCCCGCCAAAATATAGAGTTGGGTTCGAGCAAACAGCCATGAATTGATCGTTCAATCTCTAACTACATTGACACTCCCCGGCAAAAAACGGATCCATCCCATTTTTACATCACGACCAATACACGTTGACTTGTATGCCAGTGCGAGAACCTGGGTCACACGGACAAGGCTGAAATGGAGGACTAACAGAAAAGCCAACACACCACAGGCAGACCCACAGCACGGTCACACTCATCGATGACGACCTACGCCTTCCGGTTAAAGGCATCCTCTTGACATCTTGCAACACAATCACCAATTGCTAGAATGACTCTTGCAGAACGCAACGTGACCATAACAGCCCCTCATGGTACTCTTCGCACATCCTCTTATCTATTCACTACCAATTACCACTGGGATCGCTTGTCACTCATTCTGCCTCAGTTCTAGTAGTGGTGACGTATGCAAGCCTCAGTCGTCTACACTCTCGCTCCCCGGCGTGTGGGACCACAGTCTAAATAGAAACATTCATTCTCAGTCATTGATTGCAGCGCTAATCATTATCCCCGTGTGCATGTCATTCTCAGCACTAGCCTCCCGGGCGTAAACGAATCATCTGCTGTCTTTAACATCAGTCAATTCATTCATGGATGTAGAAGGCTAGAAACAACTTCAGAAGTAAACACGACAAAAATCTTAACAAAATTATGCATAACAACGAGATACGAAAACAACAAGTAAACACAGAGAGTTCAAAAACACCGATTGATATGACACACCACACATATGTACAAACAGTGCACAAACCTCGCAGATCATGCCTTGATGGAATTCCTTCGAAGAATCGCAGGACTTACATCAGTACGCCTGCGACCCTTATCAGGTTGACGGTTGTAAGTTGTGGAATGTCCGGACACAAACAAGATTAACCAACAATTACAATAATTGGAACTCTCACAATTATTTAACACAAACATATGTACAATCAACACATCAAATGTGGTGGATTCTTCCTTGACAACCTAACCTTGAAGAACTGTAGGACTTACAGCAGTACGCCTACATTCCTTCCCAGGTTGACGATACAAGTGGAAGACGTCCGGACACAAACAAATTTAACCAACAGATATATGAAAGATGACACCAATTCAGTATATACAACATGAACATATGTACAAAATAACACCCCAAGTACGATGGGCTGAGCTTCGATGTACTACTCTTGAAGAATTGTAGGACTTACAGCAGTACGCCCAAAACCCTTCTCAGGTTGACGTCCCAGGTTGGAAAATCGTCACGGAGTTCATTTACTGACCTCCTTCTATCATCTATATCCTCAACTTTGAATGGTGACATTGTATCATGTCATTGTATCATAGAATATGGATGACGAACAAACATACGACGTATCTGACCAACCAAGCGTAGAAACAGAGTAGTTTCCACCAAAGATAATAACATTAAAATAGTAACCTGAAGCTTGAAATGCCTTTATTCGTGAAAGTCAATTTAACAATTACACTCTCGTACACAGTTGGCTTATGCTCACTAAACTGACCACTGACTTTCGTTCTTTCAAACGGACTGATACTAACATAATCATAGTATAAGACACGTGAGTTCACGGACATCCCTTTCATTAGGGATGACAACACCAACGACGACTGAGTGGCACAAGTTGATGAACTTAGCGGTGCATCAGAAGCTGTTGTTGTTCGGCTTTTAGAAGGTTGTCTAACTGCAAGATTACCACCACTGCTGTCTTTCACTACTAGTTCGGGTTTAGCACTATCATCTGATGATAGGTGGGCTATGTGCTGATCACTTACATTGGTGTTCTCTCTGGTGTCTATACCCTCTGCTCTTACTGGGAGCCTGCATCTTCATTGTTAACATCGTTGGCAGTGTCTTGGGGCAATCTTGATATATGTGAATCTTAATGAATCTCTATGGTGAAGGCAAAATAGTACGAAAAGTTGGCAGCCATTTGAGGGAACTGAGTGGGCAAACTAAAAGCTCAGACCGTGAGAAACAGGAGATTCACGTTTATCTTCGTCTGAAAATTATCGTGGTTATGTTACACTTCTACAGAAAACAATGACCTACGGTAATACATAAAGTTGGATGCAAGCTCAACCGTTGAAACAAAAGCCCATCGTGCAAAAAAACGAAATAACAAAACAAATAAGCCAACGATTTGATTATACACTAAGCACCATATATGGTAAGCAACCAGTGTGAGGAACTGGTTGTATTGCTTTTTACAGTACTGTTAAATTCCCTCAGAAAGATTTTAGAATTCAGAAATTAATTTGGAGTCAGAAGCCCGCAAGTACTATTCTTGAAATATCGTCTATTTTTGAGTCATTCCGTGCGAGAAACTTTGCCATCATTTAATAGGAGTGCTGAGTGCTTTGTCAAGTAGATATATTTAATAGAGATGTTTTTCACTTGTTTCGGCAACAATTTAAGCTGGTTTCGCTAAAGCTGTGTTGGAGAAATGCAAAATATTTCGGTAATCATCCAGATGACAAATCACTCTTGATAAAATTGAGGTTTACCAATGGACTTTGGTTTCTTCATCCTAATTGAAGTCAGATGACAGCAGATAACATTGTAGCCATTCTTAACTTCGAAAATTTGATTTGACATTTTACCGTATACCAGATAATATCATAGGAATAGTTTTAAAATTTGATAACATTTGCCTCTTTTTGTACACAAGCTTATGATATAAGGAAGTGGATCCATATTTTAGACGAAAATGTCTATCTCATTCCAACTCTACAAGGTAATTGTTTTAACGAGTCACGCAATTATTCATTTATGAGCTTCTAGCGGTTGGTTTGCAGTAGGGTTTTTATTCCTAGTGTACTTTTCGCAAATTAGTATAGAAAGTGTTGCGTTTTTATTGTTTGATATTTGTTTTGTAATATCACTTGCATCTATTCTGAATCACCCTATTTGCTTGCTTTTGTTCAGTCGACTTCATAAAATGCCACGAGCTTCTGCTCTCCTAGTGAGCGATCCTAGGCAGCAGTTCAGCTGTTGTCTATGTCTGCATGTTAGAACGGGAACCATAATATATGGAATAGCACAAATTGTTATTCAACTTATCTTTATATCGTTTCTGCTGTTAATGGCCTTCAACCCAAGGCTTATACCTGAAGATACTCATGGGAAACTGGAGAAGTCACAACCCAATGTTCGTAAGTTCACGTAATATACATATCCATATCTTTTGCACACTTGTGAAACTGTCTTCTTGTCTTTTTGATTTTATGTTGTCTCCCTGATGAGCTTAAGGAGTTGTGGAAAAATATGACAGTGCTTCAGTTCGTGGTTTCTACTGTAAGATGTTGCAGTTGATTTATATTCTAGGGTCATTGGTATATTTGTGTTTGGTTCATTATCATCCTTTTACTTCCACACCTTCAATTGATATTGTTCATAATATCTCGTGGTGAAGATAATTTATAACAGCCACCAAACCACCTAGAGAAAGTCTGAATAAACGACTGTTAGAACCTCGGGTTTTCTGACGATTTTCTAGACTCCTTAGCTGGACGATAATGCCTTATCCTAAGCTGAGGTCTTTGTCATAGCCTGGTCCCAACCCCTAACTGCCGTTAATCTTTTGACTCTAGATTTAGCCTTATGACCCTAATCTAAGCGTTAACGTCAATAACCTTATTAAAAACAGGTAAGTCAGATCAACGGGACTTTTTTGGAGCAAGGCTCTGCATTTTTGACTAGTGCTCTGTCTGTCTGGTCAATGTCATTTGATAGTCACTAAAGTTTATCTTCATTCTCGTCTCTGTAACTTTTGGCAAGGTAATGGCATGTCATATTACTTGACTTCTGCGTGTGGAAATGAGACCTGGTTCCATCTATTCCCTTTTGGGCATCAGTACATTTTGCCTGCGTTTGCTATCCTGCTCTGGTTTTGCTCTTCGAGCTCATTGGTGCTTTAGTTCACGTGGTCGGTGGTACCGTGAATGCTCAAATATCAAGTCTGGTTCGTTACTTAGTGCATAAAGTATTTCGGATAATTACTTTGCGTCACATAAGTAGCGTCAATATGGCTTGAACAACCGCCAAAGTGTCTTTCTAACCTTTCACTATTTTCCACCTACTATCCCATAAAATCAGCCACAAAATAAATCCTTCGGTATGAATAAGAAAAACCGTGCCTATGTCAGATTTTCCTTAACTTCCAACCCACTATGACTGGTGCGACATCCAAATTTAAAGAAGTGTCACATGCTTTCCAAAAAATCAGTCTTTATGGTTATCAGCAACTGATTTATCAACGTAGAATAAGTGTGCAGCACTTCAAACGGTTATATTTAGAAGGTGCACACTAATAAAAAGGGAAGTAGTGAAACTACCACTAGTGAGAATGTACGGGGGAGTGAATAACTGAATAAAATCTGGTGGACATTTCCAGGATATGGCAGATTACTAGAAGTGAATACGTCTGCACTTTTGTGAAAGATACAGGGTTACCTCACTAAAGTTTTGAACCAATAATCCCCACAGTCGTGTGAATGTCAGATATAATATCATTTTAGACCAGATCTTCCCCATTGTGAAGCTAGTAGGTTGGATCGCAGTGGAAATCAAGGTGCAAAGCAGTACAAAATATAACAAAAATATAAGAAAAAGTGAAAAGTAGTGGCCAACTGAGTATTTTTAGTAAGTCCATCTGTAAGAATATGCTTTACTGTTGACTTCCTTGGGTAAATGAGGATTGTGGAGAGAAGCTGAAGAGTCGTAGCCAGATTCAAGGTTTCAAAAGTTGACCTGCAAGAACCAATCATATACGGGGGGACTCTACAAAAGGTTATTCCAAATCATGTCTGCCCTTCTGGACTTGGAGAGGGTCAACACTATTTTACTTATTCTCTAGGTACTTTCTCTACAAATCTAAACTGTTAAATAGGGTTATGGCTTTGAAGATTAAAGTTTAGGGTCTAGGGTTAAGGTTAGAATTTAGGTTGAAGTTAGGATTATGGTCGAAGCTAAGGGTAGGTTAAAGAAGTGTCAGAAATACCAATGGATCCCAAAGTAGCATGACCTACAGTCACATGAATGGAGGTATCTGTCGCGCATGGTATGATTTCTCTATAGATCACCTGTGTATCAAGTGAGAGATCCTTACAACATACGCGACAATTATATAGTGTAATGTCATGTTTGTGTTTTTTACAGCATTTTTCAACGACCATGAGACTGTTTTTGTATCTGAACTATGACTGGTTGATCAAGGTCAGTTCGACTTTGATATGATAGTTTAATTTTGCTGATTGAGGCATAGTCGGTTAATAGCCAAATCAAACGACGTCCTGAGCATATCACCCAAAGTATCTCAAACTCGACCCGTAGGCAAACTAACGTTGATCACTTCCTTGCGTCTTTCATAAACTCCTAGAAATAGTAAACAAGTAGTATGAAAACCGTACTACTATTATTGAGGCACAAAGTTGTTACAGTATGCGTATCAAAAGATACAGCACATCTGAGCTGGGTGGGTCTTGAGGGACACCACCTAAGAAACAGTCAGGCTTTAGATCAAGTTCCCCCACTGTATCAAGGGTGAAAGTGTCCACACAGTTTGATTAGATCAATTTTAATAAGTGTTGTTAACTTGGCTTTCGATGACAAGCCTAACAATGCAACAGTCCTGAAGGTAGCTTAATTGTGCAAGCCCCCCATCTCGCCTCCGTCTTTACATAGTTATCAGGGTAATTTAAATTCATAACTTTTAGAAGTTCACTTGTCAGAGTGTAGACATAAACTGTTGACAATCTTTTAGAAGCGTTTTACGTTGTAGTCATGCCAAAGACTATAAATTCACAGACTGGTCACTACAGGCTTTATGAATAGCTTACAAGCCTCACACTAGACGTATAGTTTTTGTCCGGATGGTAAATGTACATCGGTTCTCTACATCTTCAGATTTTTTCGTGATAAAGTGGAGAACGGATAACTCTTCTTAGTCTTATTTCTTGTCATGAATAAGGGAAACAGGTTATTGTTTTCCTTCACTTTCTGCGGATGCTTTTGGATAAAGCTATCGAAACATTGAAAGGTTTCCCAGGAACTTCTGTCTTCAAGACGGGATAATGGAAGACTGTGGGTTTGTTTCAATGCAGAGATTTGATAGAACATTTTTGTTTTGGCTTTTCCTCCCTAACTGCAGGTTTCTACATTTTCTCAGCATTGTTCCGTCTGGTTCCTGCTGTTTCTGATATCCATGAATCACTAACATTACCATCTCCTGGGGCTCAAAATCCGGATGAAAAGAAGGTTGCTATCAGTCAAAATCTGGACCCTGATTCTAATTTTATGGAGGATATTCCAGGTTATAAAGACAGTGTCTTTGTCGATGCCAACAGCTTACCCCCAAGACTTTCATTTGAAACTCACAAACAAGATCGTGCGGCTCATGAAATAAAGATACGGCATTTTAGTCCGTATATTGCTATTTGCGTAACAGCTTTCTCATTGGCATTTTGTTGTTTTATGGTTCATGGAGCAGTCACGCGACAGCCAACTCACTTGCTACCATTTTTCTTCATTCAAGTCTTTGATCTTATAATCTGTTTGATTCATATACTTGGATTTATGTCATCGGCGTCAGATCTACGTCTAATGATTCACACAAAAGTATGTTAATTGGAATTGATTATTTTAATTGATTAACATGAAAAAGGCATTTTCTTGGAAAGCCTAAGTAATATATAAGTGTAAAAGCATTTTTACCACCGGTGATAGGAAAAGGTTATAAAAAGTGGACTTTAACGGGTGTAATTTTGAAATGGTTGAACATTTCCAGTCATTCATTTTGATTAGATGGTATAGATTTTGGTGTGTCACAAAGAAGAACTATGAGCTACTACGCATTATGAAGATGCTCTGGATCACCGCCACATGTGGTCATAACAATCCCCGAATTGTCAGCCACCTAGTTTAAGGTTATTAAGTTGTCGGGTTTCCCTGCACTTACATTTTATCGTGATAGCCATTGGCATATCATATATAGCGTCATGCACGGTAAATTCTCCATTCTGTCATGCCATTTTTGTATTATATACGTTAGTATCATTTTAAACACCTCTTCCATTCCTAGACAGTGAAGTTAGTCAGAAAAGATAATTTTTCGTGGTGGTGAGATACATAAGGTTGCAAGAGTCCAGCTGTGTTTTAGAAATTTATGGTGAAATCATGTAATCATCAAACTAATTAGTTTACATCGCTACTGAGTAAGACCACTGCCTAGATTGATGTTTTTCTATCTAAAGTGGAGGAAATGTAGTCACAGTGAATGAGGTCATAAGTCTATATATACTTAGTTAACTTCCCCAACAGCTAAGATTATCAAGGTGCCATTCAATTTGCCTTGGAGGTCTGATGAAAGTAAGGTTCAGTTGATAAACTGTTTTCATTGTATTGATGGGTTTGAAATCGTAACATTGTAGGGCATCATTCTCACTGATACAATAGATACAGCTTAAGCACTTCACCTGGGCCTTACTTTTGCCTTTTTGGTCACAACGCATTGAACGACCACATAGTAAGTGTACCCCATAACTAAGTTGATAAAATGAATACCAGGTGGTACACTCCCGTTGTCACTTGTTGAAACTAGCTTTTATGCAGCTATCTGATGTATCTTGTTGTGACTGATCAAATCGTCGGGCACGTTCTTATGTGTTTCTTTGGATTCTGAACGGATTCCTTTCTCTGTGCCTCGTCGACTTTTTTATTTTGATATTTTGTGCACTTTCATTTATAGTCCTTTTAGGTGAAAACGCTTGTAAAATGAAGAGTCTCCTGAATACCTTGATCAGCAATCTTTGAATGTTTGGCATGAGATTTGCTCCCCTCAAATGTAAGACGATACTACAGGACTGGACAACATCGGCTTTTAGCTTAAACATAGGGAGTGAAGGGATGGAGCGCATATGACCACTCCACTTATTTGCTAAGTTACGTCATCCCCAATAGGCTGATCGCTGATAAAATCTCACCAAAGACACAGAGACCTCATAAGGCTTCCCCAACTTACGTCATCTCTGACGTAGATGTGATATCCTGCTATCGATAAAAGGATGTGTGTACTTCTCAGCATTTAGCTCCGTCGTGCTTTATGGCTGGCTATGGGACATGGCCATTGAAATTAGAAGACATAAAAAGACTAGGTGTCTTTGATCAAAAGTGACTTCGTTCTATCTCCCGTGTCAGGTGGTATAATAAAGTGAGTAACATTGAGGTTAGTCATCGAGTGTTTGATCAAGAGGCTGTCCGCCCTAGTTATCTCCTTCCTCGATGAGCAATGTTGGCTGACATGGGATTAGGCTGGAAAAGAGCTAGTGGTGGTCAGACTAAAAGGTGACAGGAGTCCATGAAATCTTTGATAGTTAGTTTGAGCCGGGCACGTAGGGAGGTGTAGACTACATGGTTAGGGTTGTAAGAATTCTAAAAACCAATGGTTAGGGACAATGGATGATATGGCTCGAAATGCCTCTCAGGGATGTAGATACATTCACTGTCTGTGATATGGCATATCCATTAAACCCTGTTGTTTTTCTTTATTGCTGTTCTTTCTTCCTCACATTTCTGCTCATTATTGTTGTCTGGAATCTCTTTCTCTTTTGTCTTCCTTTGTGTGCTTTGTGAAATGTGTCAACTCGAACTTCTGTACTCTGTGCAAAGTTCTTCGTTGAAACCAGTCAGTTAATCGTATTCATATACTGATACATCTTTTTATTGAGGCTACAACAGTAGGATTATATAATAAACTGAGCTTTAATTATGTGCAGATAGTATTTTCACGTAAATTACTGTTATGCATGTATGATGTTTTTTCTTCCATATTAGTGTGTTTATTAGATGTATCACACAGTGAAACAGTATTCTTTACTGAATGACATTTCGAACAAAATTTATTATTCATAATCGTATCAATAGTGTTCCAAACGTCATCCAATAAATAATACTGTTACACTGTGTGATACATCTAATAAACAAACTAATATGGAATTACTTACTACCACGGTGCCCAAGTTTTACACATATATTAATATGACTTATGGTCTTCCTGTACGAATACTTATCAATAAACTCACTCGATTTTTGTTTTCTTCTTTAGACTGGACCTGTTTACATTAAGTCTACAAGTTTAACCTTCGTTATACTGGCTATCTCATGCGTGATGTTAGCCTTCAAGGCCTATTGTCTTGGCATGGTATGGGATTGTTACAAATATTTGATGTTGAATCGAAGAAGTAATGTACTAGATGACTGGTATTCTGATCAGTGGGGTAATTTATCAACTTTCTGGAGTTTACTTCGTGCTGGACGTACTCGAAATAACAATCCAGCGGGTGGTAATTCACCTCCAGCTAATGAGTCTAACACAGGTGGACACAATGAACCTGTTACGTACGATCCATCGAATGATTTACCAAAATATGAGGTAAGTGTTAATTTTGGAAGGTTGGAGGTAAAATTGTTTTCTGATCACTTGATGAATAACTAACTCTGTTCACTTTTAGTATCAATTTTCTGTGATTACTGTACCTATCAAGTAAATCACTGTTCTCTTTCGCAGCAATATGTCGAGATTGAAATAGGGGACACTGAGTTGTACACATGCACTGATCACGAATATGACTTGATTACGACATCTGCCTGTTTTCGCAGCCTGCACTGTTTAACCGAGAACGCACAAGGACGTCAGTTGCTAAGTATATATTTTACACAATATTTTCTGATTCAAAATATCTGATCAAAATATGTCAGTAAGTCTGTAATCATCATCAACAAGATATTGACATCATCTTACGTCGGTTCATTTCTGGACTGGACATCGATCACCATATAAATAACTCAGAAGCCAAGAAGCATTGGCTAAGTGTTTCGTCCTAGTGCGTACTTGTAAACGGAAATTAGCTTCTTTTGGACAGTAAAATACTGTGAGTGGGTGGGCAGTTGAAAAGTTCCAAACTAAAGTGGAGCATTTATCTATTACTTTTTGTGTTTGCATGTTTCTCTAGATTTTTCAGTTTGTGACTACGGTAAAATTGTTATATTCTCTTACAACGTTAACGTAATTGTTAGTGTTTTGCAAATCCGTTTTTAGTTACTACTTTCAGTTCAAGTGTAGTGACACTTGATTGGTGGCTGGTTACTAGCAGTGGAATCCAGGATGCCCACTTTTTGTTCTATTTGAGACTCGTCGTCTGGATGTACCTGCATTCCCCAGTGAGTGATGATGATGTTCCCACCGAGGCTCGAACCCAGCGCCCATAGTTTCCAACTCCAAAGCATTATCCAATAGACCATTTGGGTCACTGTGGAATGCAGGTACATTCAGATGACTGGTCCGAACTAGGATGAAATGCGCATCCTGGATTCCATCACTAGTGACTATCCACCAATTAACCTCTAAATTACGTGCCCAGACATCGTCAAAGCATCTACACAAGAAGCTGACATGTCAACCTGAGACCGAGCACTTCTGTCTAATCAATCGAAGGGAAATCTAAAATTCAATTAAAAAATGTAGTGATATTTATTTATTTGTTTTTTCACCTTTAGGATATACTGAAGATTCCTGCAAATGCATATGCTCCTCCACCTTATTATTCTTCTAATATGAATATGAACAATAGTACAGCAACTACCACAGATCCAAATGGTGTTACAGCAAGAACGACTGCTGCCAATACTGCCATTACTACTACGACGACTACTACTACTACTAATGTGAATAATGGTAATAATAATGTTGTTAATACAACTGCTACTGATCCATCAGCAACAACAGTAATAATAACAACAACAGCTGACAAGAATGCCACTCAAACCCAGAATGCATCAAAAGATACTAATCCTTCTTGTTAGTCTGTTATCTGATTGCTTCTCTTAATGTGTGTGTGTGTGTGTGACAGATATATTCTTACGAACTTTGTGAATGAATTTATTATAAGACAGTGTAGCTGTTTTCATGAAATCATGATGAATAATTGTTGATATATATATATATATATATATATATATATAAGACTTATTTTTGCTTTCGTCTTGTTTTAAGACGTTATTTTTCTCTTCTCTGGTTATTACTATTATTATTGTTATTTTCTTGTCCCATTAACTTTTTATTATTTTTTTCCAAAGTTTATCTCTTGGCTTTTTTCTTTTCAAAAAGAGCATTACTGACATCTAATTAAAATGATTTTCCTTTTTTTTGATGCTGTTTATTCACACTTGATGTGATATATACATAAATAAAATTTCGATTATTAGAAAAAAAGTTATACTTAATGCTGATGTGAATGTTACTGTGCGGAAAACCAATTGCAAGCATACTCCAATTATCACTAGATTTATTGAGTTGATAATGTTTGAGCTATACTCACATACCTTGGTCTCACTCTGTCCCCCCTCTCTATGTCCTGGTGAGAGATATTTAACGGGATCTTATGTAAGGCTATGAAATAGGGGAGTGTCTTGAGTCGTCCACAAAGTGTTTTGTTGCCGAAGTAAAGACATACTTCCGTTCAACCATCGCTAGCCAGTTTGCGTAGGGAGCGTGAACGCGTTTTACGCGAGCCGATGCATGGTAGTACGATCAACGTACTCATCTTCACATAAACAAGTGAGCTGATGTGTGCATAGTATGACCGAGGGTGGGTGAATAGTTTTTGTTCTTCCTGTCGAATTGCTCTTATGTAGTCACACGTTAAAGTCTCTTCCAGGTAAGTCCTGTTCACTGTCTTCACGCGGCTGGGGTGTTCTTCGCAAAAGTGTGAAGGGGCCAATACGAATGTCTGAAGCTCTTACAACCAGACTGGTAGACATGCAGGTCTATCTAGGGTTGGAAAACCCCTGATTCCATGGGCTCCAGAATCTGAAAGGATCGAATGGGGGGCACAAGTGTGGTTTGATCACTGGGAACGTAGCTCCTGACACTGCCTTGTGGATCAAACGTCAAGTGAAGGGCTTGAGAGATGATGGTCCGTAAAGGCTTCATCCACTCTGGTGTGGGTGTCCTGGCAATTTCACAACCCTCACAGAAACTTTGTGTGGCACATTTCTTGGTGCCCGTAATGTGCTAAGTTTATATTTTAATAATAATAATTTAATATTTTTTTGTATTTTTGATTACAGCTTGATTCCACACTGTATTTGTGGCACAAGTATGAAATTTTCAGCATAGATATCGGTAGCCCAAATTTCGCAGGCCGACCATAGATATCAGGTGTGCGTCGGCAGGGGATCGATACCTCGGACCATGTGCATGGTCGGCGAGAGTCCTAACCACTGTGCCACCGACGCATATTCGCGTGCTTCTGCAATATTCTTTTGGGATTTTGAAATCTACATTTTTAAAATAAATACGGTCTTGTTGACAACTAATGCATATCATTCTGGGGAGTATTTGTCACTTATGTTTTTTTATTCACAATTGGATTTTTAGACACCTACTAACTTTGACAGTATGGTAACTCGAACTGCTGCACTTCTGTGCAAAGTTCTGTGCTGAAATCAGTTAGTCAGTTATGATTGTAACATGTAAAATAATCTGGTTTAATCCTTCTTCCATATTAATGAAAAATTTACATTCAAGGGGATACATTTGAAAGAGGTCACTTCCTTCACTTATCATCTAAGCATCATTAGTTCAACTACAGGTGGGACGGATGCCGATGATGTCAAAATCAGCATAAAAACTGAACGAAATATTCCCATATTGAGTCATAAGAAAAAGGCACAAGCAGCGGAGAAAATTTTCGACGATTCATTTTCACCAGCTGCTGTACAATCGTAATTATATTTAACAAAGAAATCTTTAGACCAATCAGATACTGGTAAACTTTGTCCTTGAAAAATTGTATTACATAATGAAAGGTGTAAGAAGAGATGACTAATTGTAAGTTAGAAAAGAGACCGAAGTCGGCATGACGTAATAAGTGCGTGGTAATGACTAATCAATAGGCTCGTGTGGAATGGACAGGAACTGAAGGAAAGGCTATAAATTGTTTTTGTATAAAATTTGTATGAAAAAGCAATGCTATTAATAGACAGTAATAGAGGTAATAAAATGTGGATGTTGGGAATAATAATGACAATGAAAATATGAATAATAATAATAATGACAATAATAATAATAAGTGAACTTACATAATAAAAGAAAGAAGCAAAATTGTAGTAAAAACTTTACTCTGGCCATGGTGGGGCCACAGAATGTATGTATCGCTTTGGAATGCAGAGGTCCGGTTTCAGATCTCGAATAGCTAATGCTCCAGCTATGTACAGATGGCGTATCTGAAGTCCATTTGTACGATATTGAGGGACTTCAGATACGCCATCTGTACATAGCTGGAGCATTAGCTATTCGAGATCTGAAACCGGACCTCTGCATTCCAAAGCGATACATACATTCTGTGGCCCCACCATGGCCAGAGTAAAGTTTTTACTACAATTTTGCTTCTTTCTTTTATTATGTAAGTTCACTTATTATTAATATTATTATTAATATATGTGTAAAACTTGGGCACTGTGGTATTAAGTAATTCCATATTAGTTTGATTATTAAATGTATCACACAGTGAAACAGTATTGTATACTGGATGACGTTTCGAACACAATTTATTGTTCATAATCATATCAATTTTTGTCACACGACTTCGAGATTTGATTTTTATAGTTTTCTCTGTCTTCTCCTATTTGTTGTATGGGCAGTAGAATTTTCCATATATCTGGGACAGGTGTTGAATCATTCCTATTACATGTATTTGCGGTTGATTCGATAAACAAAGCTTCTGTTATCAATCTCTCCCTATACCCTGTGACATTAGATTTTAAAACTGTCATCCTATCCCATCCTATTGTATGGTTGTGTGTAACTGCATGTAGTGCTATAGCTGAACTACTCTCTAGATTTCTTATCTTATTCGGGTCAACCAATCTAGATTTAGCTAGGTTTTTATGTTCGGCTAGTCTGACTGCCCCTGTTCTACTAGTTTGACCTATGTATTTGACCTCACAATCATTGCAGGGTATTAGATAAACTAAATTGTTTTGTTTTAATGGCTCTACAGGATCCTTTAACCGACAAAGCTTGTTTCTAATTGAGTTTGTGGGTTTGAATGCCACTTTTATTCCTGCCTTGTTAAGAATTCTGCGTAAGGCTTCCGAGGTTCCTTCTTTGTATGGAATTATTGTTGATGATTTACATTCCTTATTGTTGGTGTCGTTATTAATATTATTATTATTATCACTATTATTATTACCATTATTATTATTATTGTTATTATTATTATTGTTATCATTATTATTATTATCACTATCTCTGTTATCCTTCTTTATTTTATTTTTACATTTACTTACATATTTCTTGACTAATTTATCCGGGTAATTATTAAGTTTCAAGGCTTCTTTTATGTGTGTCACTTCCTGTCTTAGATTTTCCTTGGTACTACTTAGTTTTTGTGCTCTGTCATTTAAACATTTCACTAATCCTATTTTTACTGACATAGGATGGGATGATCGGAAATCCAAATATCTGTTTGAATGTGTGGGTTTTCTGTAAACACTAGTGTTTAGCTTCCCATCTTCTTTCCTTTTTACGTTGCAATCTAACATTGGAAGTTCCCCTTCCTGACTTTCCAATTCATAAGTGAATTGAATTGCCTCTACCTTCGAGTTGATGTGCTCGAAAAATCTATCTATATCTTGTGTTCTAAGTACAGTGAATGTGTCATCTACATACCTCCACCATACTTTTGGGGTGGGGGTGAACGTTTCAATCGCTATCTTTTCCCACCTATCCATGAATATATCTGCTACCACCGGGGATATTGGTGATCCCATGGCAACTCCCTCAGTTTGTTTGTATATTTTCCCTTGGAATTTAAATACTGTAGAAGTCAGGCAAAGCTGCACTCCCAGCATTATGTCCTCAATTGGCACTTTTGTCCTAAGTTCGAGTTCTTGGTCAGAAATGAGTTCGTTTCTGACTGCCTCTATAGCCATATTTATTGGTATACGTGTATATAAACTGACAATGTCAAAACTAACCATTTTTTCTTCATTATCTAATTTTAAATTATCTAATCTGTGTTTTAGTTCATAAGAATTAGTTAGTCTAGATTTCGAGTGGATTTTTAGGGGATTTAATACCATGGCTAAATATTTAGATAATTCATAGGTAGGTGAATTTCTAAAATCAACTATAGGCCTAATAGGGTATCCTGATTTATGAATTTTAACAACACCATACATCCTACTGGGGTTATTAGTTTTTGGCATTAAATTAAACCACTTAGACTCACCTAGAAACGGCTTCATTCGGCGTATAAGGTCCGCTGTGGATTTCTTAACTTTATTCATAACTGTGTCTATTGATTTATTAATTTCCTCATATGGTCCTGTTTGTATGTGAGTATTTACCTTGTCCAAATAGTCCGATTTGTCTAATACTACTGTTGCGTTCCCTTTGTCTGACTTTGTGATTACTATATCCTTGTTATTCTTGAGGTGTTTTAGGGCTTCTGTCTCTTGTTTTGTCAGGTTAGGTTTTCCACATTTTTGTCGTTTTAATGTAAGTGCACATTGTGCACGTACTTCTTCAGCTGTTGTTTTGTCTATCCCACTTAGTGCTATTTCTATTTTAGGGATGACATCCTCAGGTTTTAGCTTGTCCACCGCTACATTGAAGTTTAGTCCCTTTTCTAATACACTTATTTCCATCGGACTTAATATATGTGATGAGAGATTGATAACTATAAAAAGAGAGATTGAAAACTATAAAAATCAAATCTCGATGTCGTGTGACAAAAATTGATATGATTATGAACAATAAATTGTGTTCGAAACGTCATCCAGTATACAATACTGTTTCACTGTGTGATACATTTAATAATCAAACTAATATGGTATTATTATTATTGTCATTATTATTATTATTATTCATATTTTCATTGTCATTATTATTCCCAACATCCACATTTTATTACCTCTATTACTGTCTATTAATAGCATTGCTTTTTCATACAAATTTTATACAAAAACAATTTATAGCCTTTCCTTCAGTTCCTGTCCATTCCACACGAGCCTATTGATTAGTCATTACCACGCACTTATTACGTCATGCCGACTTCGGTCTCTTTTCTAACTTACAATTAGTCATCTCTTCTTACACCTTTCATTATGTAATACAATTTTTCAAGGACAAAGTTTACCAGTATCTGATTGGTCTAAAGATTTCTTTGTTAAATATAATTACGATTGTACAGCAGC